GGTATCATGATCAGTGCCAAACACTTCCTCTGGAATGTGAACTCTCACGGTCTCATTAGCAGGCTTCAACTTGGTCTGGACAAATTGGTATAGGGCTAATAGAGGAGGTGGCATGTCTAGCTTTGAGAGATCTTGTGACAAGAAATAAATAAAGAAATATAAGTTAGTTTGTACATCAAATAAAATAAATGACTCTAACAAACCAACAAAACCGACGTGGTATATAATATAACCGACAATTTCTAGAACATACTGATAGAGTAAGTTTGACTAGCGGTGCCGCCAAAGACTGGCAATTCAAACTCATATTGGTATGCTTGAGATGCACTATTAGGTTGATGAAGCAACCTTGGTAGTCTACAAAGTTGCTTTGGAAATTCACCTGAAATTTGGTTCTTTGACAAGTCTATATATAACAGTCTAGGAAGAGTCCCCAACCAACTTGGAATTGGCCGTGATTTGATTAGCATTCAGACTCAAGATCTCTAGATTCTTGAGTTTTGATAACCATAGAGGTATTTGCCCAGTAAGGTCAGAATCACCTAAACTCAATAACCGAATATTTTGGAATCCATCAAAGTCAACCATGTCATCATCATATGGCATTCCCTCACCTTCAAAGGCACCATTAAGCATGAGGACGTGAAGACTTTTGCAACTCATCAATATCTTCATTGTCACTGTGAGGTTGGTGAATCAGTTGTAAGCAAGCGAGAGGAAGGACAAGGAATTTAATGAAAGAATCTCAGCTTCTATTTGTCCAACTAGATTTTCTAACCAATCGAATGACATTTAAGGACCCAGATGAGTAAAGGCTTACTGGAATTGTACCAGTGAAGTTATTCATCCTTAGGTCAAGTTTAGTAAGTTGAGTAAGTATGGAAAAATCAAGCATGGAGATATCTCCTTCCAAGCTATTGGATCCTAAACGCAGTTCTACAAGGTTTGTGCAATTCATCAAAGATGGGGCCAAAAAACCTTCTAAATTGTTGAAATCAAAGGTCACCAATTTCAACTTGGAGAGCTCCCCCTAAATGATTAAAGGAGAGGTCAAGAATGGCAAGGTTTGTGAGGTTGACCATTTTATATCACTAATCTCCATGTAGTGAATTGAGAGCTAATGCAATTTCTTCAAGTTTGGTGGCGTTATAGATATCTTCTGTAAGTAATCCTAAGAGGTTATTGTGACTAGCACCAAAAACCTGCAGTTTGGAACACTTCCCTATCCCAGGAGCAAGGTTGCCACTAAATACATTGGAAGAAAATCCAATTAATAGCATGAGGGAGAAGAATGGAGACAAATAGTTTGCTATAAATACCCCCATGTAGTTCTTTAAAATTCATATTTGAATGTTGAGTAAACCTTTTCCTAGAACTCTCTAATTTCGTCCCTTCGATCTATATTTCTTCTCCTCGATCTCCGATATTCTTCTTTGTTCTACTGCTTCTGCCCTTTATCTCGTCTTTTTTATCTCTGTTTCTTCTCCTCGGTCTCTTATATTCTTCTCTGTTCTATTTTTAAAGTGCTTAATCTAACACCTACGGGCTGTACTACATCACCACCCTTACGCAAGTCTCTGGTACAGATGTGACCCCAAAGCTTTTCGAGACTTCAAGAGTGTCCCTAGGTTCACTGAGATACTATGGCCTGGGTCTTCAAAATGAACCTTATGTTGTAACATTGCAATTTGCAAAAACGGTTTTTGTTAGCCGCACTACACAAACTTGGCAAAGTCTAGGGAGGCGTGTATTTGATATCTATATTCAAGTAAGGCTGCTAATACACTATTTGAAGTAAAGGCAACCTCATTAGACAGAATTATTTAAGGCTCAAAGCTAGAGAGGCCTAATTGAAAGAGAAGGTGCATATATGTCACACTCCGGATCGACTCCGCCGTAGCACGATATTGTCCCCTTTGGGCCCCCCCTCTCTACCCTCACGGTTTTGTTTCTGGGAACTTACGAGCAACTTCCCAGTGGGTCACCCATCCTGGGATTGCTCTGGCCCCAACTCGCTTAACTTCGGAATTCCCATGACTCCGAAGCTAGTGAGCTCCCAAAAGGCCTCGTGCTAGATGGAGGCGGGCATGTACATATAAGGTACATTACACCCTCTCCGTTGGTCGATGTGGGACGTTACAATCCACCCCCCTTAGGGGCCTGACGTCCTCGTCGGCACACTCGCACCACACGGCAGAGTGGCTCTGATATCAAATTGTCACACCCCGGATCGACTCCGCCGTAGCACGATATTGTCTGGTTTGGGCCCCCTTCTCTAACCTCACGATTTTGTTTCTGGGAACTTACGAGCAACTTCCCAATGGGTCACCCATCCTGGGATTGCTCTGGCCCCAACTCGCTTAACTTTGGAGTTCCCATGACTCCGAAGCCAGTGAGCTCCTAAAAGGCCTCGTGCTAGATGGAGGTGGGCATGTACATATAAGGTACATCACCCCCTCTCCGTTGGTCGATGTGGGATGTTACAATATAAGGCTCGAGGTTTTCCTAAACAAGTTTCACATTTCATTTCATAGTCGCAACAGAGATGGGCAAAGCGACGTTGTGATTGTGGTTATCATTTTCTTAGCCTTTCCCGTCGTTTTTCTCAACAAACAAGCAGAGTTTTAGGTACTTTTTTTTTTCCATAACCTTTTGGCTTGCTGAAGGAAGTTATGTTCCACCCCAAAACCAATTGCCAATGAGGGGAGTAGCCAAACTCCTTATAAACCCAGGTTAGGTCCTTTAACTTTTCAATGTGGAACAAATACTCTCAACATGCCCCCCAAATGTGTGGCAAACTTTCAAGGCTAACACGTGGATAACACATATTGGGTGACGTGTGAGCACATGTGGCCGTTGGGCCCAACGCGTGAAACCTGGCTTTGATACCATGAAGGAAGTTGAGGGAGTGTTTGTCTCACATTAAAATGTTAAGGGACTTAGCTTGGGTTTATAAGGAGTTGGGCTATTCCCCCCACTGCCAATTGGTTTTGGGATGGAACCTTAACTTCCTTCATGTTGATAACATCATTGTCACAGGCCCATCTTCTTTCGATTGTTAGGCAGTTATTACTAAGCTCAATTCTCTTTTTCCAGTCAAAGATCTCGGTCCTCTTCATTACTTCTTAGGCTTGGAAGTTAATAGATCTTCTGGTTTTCGTGTCTCATGCTAAGTATGCCACTGATCTTCTTGCCAAGGTAAAAATGGAAGGTGGCAAGCCTTGTGCTACCCCTGTAGGCTCCACCAAATTGGATCACAGTGGTAACTTACTCTCTGATCCAGCTGAATAAGTCCATTGTTGGAGCCTTTGCAATATCTTACATGGACCAGACCTGACCTTTCTTATCCCGTGAATCTAGTCTGTCAGTTCATGCATACTCCAAGAGGAACTCATCAGCAGGCTGTCAAAAGGATCTTGAGGTATCTCAAAAACACAATTCTCATTTGATGCATACTTTTTGCAGGACCATGAATGGGTTGACGATTACGAGGAGCACAAAAAGTACTTGAAACATGTCTTATACTCAGAGCATTGATGGAGCAAACCAGAATCTGTGCCTGTTTGTCTGATATCACACCTCAAGAGTATCACCATATATAAGGGGATTCAAGGGATACCCGCACGAGAAGAAAGTGGCCAAGTATTTGTTAAAGAAGGGTCAAGTTTTGAGTAAGATGACTATTTGTAAATTGTAATGACTTATCCAAAGAATTTGCAATGTCTCAAAGGGCTTCAAAGGCTTGTCAAGTTGAATTTATCTGAAGTTTTTTGTTTTGTTAGTCCAATATTGGGTTTTAGATGGATTCTGTTATCGAAGTTGTAAATCAGAGAAACCCCCTTGTTGATCTTAGGATGGATCGAGTTGCCGATGTTTGTTTTGTATTTTGTACATTTCTTATCCACTTTCTAGTTCTATTTAACTTTTCAATGGAAGGGCCCTGGGTTAATTATTTTCATTGAAACATATTTTGCATCTCCTTTTGTTTAGAAGGAGATATACATGGAATTGAAGGTTTGCAATGTAGGAGCATTAAGCTGCTTCGAATTAATTGTCGCTTAATTTTTTATACAAGTCTTTCTAGTCAGAATAAGAGTATCAAATGCTATTCATTTTATTCACTATCGCAAAACGTAATTAAGTTGGTTTTGGTTTGAAGCGTAAACAAGGAAATATATATACAAATCCCTTGTTAATGTAGTGTTAATGGTATTTCTCATTCTAATGTTAAACAATTATTCACTTAAATGAAATAATGTGAGCGTAAAAGCCCAAAGAGGCAGAGCCTAAAAGAGGCCTAACTAAAAAAGAAGGTGCATATAAGGCTTGAGTTTTCAAAAAGAAGTTCCACATTTTCATTTCATAGTCGCAAGTCCCAACAAAAATGGTCAAATTGGTTAGTATGTTTTACAAAGTTTACAATTTATAAACATTTTGTTATCTTCCATTAAGTTGAAATTAACAACTTGCCACTAAAAAAGCCAAACCAAACTAATTTGAAATCAACAACTTGCCAATATATTTTAGTGTTTAATCACCTTGATTACGTCTCTTTGTCATATGAAATTTCAATGCTAAACGTGCTTCTTTAAAAAAAAAAGTAAAAATAAAAACTGCACTTAAAGATAATATAATTATAAATTGTAAATTGTAGGAAATACAGTGACCAATTTGGCTAAATTTTCCTAGTGACTAAAACAAATTTTTGTGCAAAACCCATGAACTATTTAACCCTTGAATTTAATGGTATTCATTTCTTTTTCCAATGTTCAAAAATTCTCTGTTTAAAGGAAAAATTGAGGGTGCAAAAACCGAAACAAATGCTCAAAGCAAGAGACGCCCTTAGAAACTGAAAAGACAAAGCCAGACACAAACAGCTGTTATCGAAAGAAAAGTGCAAAAGGCTCGAGTTTTCTCAAAGAAGCCTTCACACTAACACAAATGGTCAAAGCGTCGTCGTACCTGTGGTTATCATTTTCTTAGCTTTTCCCGCCGTTTCTCGATAACCAAGCAGAGCTTTTACTATTCCCTACCACTAGGGCTTTACTCGGCTATCTCAGAACGTTTCAGGTACTTTTTCTTCATAACCCTTTGGCTTCTTCCGTGCCATCTGTTTCGAGAAACTGAGAAATGATTCATGGAAATTTCAAGTCTTTTCCCCCCTGCGATGTATATCTGTGAAGAACATATAGTATTTCTTTCAGTTGTTAATTCTAGATTGAATATGGGTTCTGGAAAAATGTTGTCTTTTTTGGTTCTGTTTGTTTCCATTGAAAAACCTTCTATGGAAAGTAGAATTTCATGCGTAGATAGCTGTGAAGGTAAATGAATGTTTTAAAGTTTCTAAGTAATAGACAAGGTGTGCTGCGTGAATTAAGCTTATTAGTATTTAATTTTTTTGAAAAAATGTACAGGGACATAAACATGGGTTCGAAATCAAAGCCTCTCAGACTAAAAAAGAAGTCAAAGCGTGAAGAAATTGTTAAAGATAGGATTAGTGAGTTGCCTGATTCAATTCTTTGTCACATGCTTTCCTTCATTCCAACAAAATATGCTGTGAGGACCTGCATTTTGTCTACAAAATGGAAGAGCATATGGGCTTCTGTTCCCAATCTTGACTTCGAATATAGAGATGACTTTGTTTTGTGGTCACATGAATATGATTATGAGTCCCATGCTGGCTTTTTCACTTTTGTTGATCGTGTACTTTCCTGCCGTGACCTGTTAGATATTAAAAAATGTCGTCTTCATTGTGACTGCCGCGAAGAGGATTTCTCTCGCATTGATGGTTGGATTCGAACTGTCAGTAGGCATAATGTTGTTGAACTTGATCTTGATGTTAAAATAGGACTTGATGAAGATATTGACCCGCCTTTGGAGTTGCCTCAATGTGTTTTCATGTGCAAAACACTGGTGGTTTTGAAGGTGAATTCAAATTGTATTACATACACTACTCCTACATCAGGGTGTTTTCCAAGTCTCAAGTTCCTACATGTCAGTGTTGAGTATCCTGATAATGACTCAATGGAAGAGATTTTTTCTTGCTGCCCTGTTCTTGAATGTTTGACTATAAATGGAATTCTAGGATTAGATGATGTTTTGAACTTCAACATCTCTGTGCCTGAACTAAGGACGTTGAGACTGGAATTGGAACTTAGCAATGATTATGATGTAGATATTAAGCACACTTTTTTTGTAAATTGCCCAAAGCTTGAAAGCCTTGATATCAAGCAGGATATTTTGTCAAATTATTTATTCGAGAATGTGAAACCTTGGTCAAAGAAAATGTCGATCTCGGGTACCGTTTTGCGCACGAAGAGTTTAGAGTTTTATTTGATCAGTGATATGAATGGAAACTTGTTTAGAGGTTAGAAATGGAGACATATTGATAAGCATCATACCAAAACCAGTTACAACCATATGTTGTTTATTGGATACCAAAAAATCCTATGGATACAAAAACAAGTTACTCATAGGCATATCTTGTTCATGGGATACCAAAAACAGGTTACAAAAACAAGTTACTCATAAGCATTTTTTGTTCAATGCCATATGAAATGGTTACATCAAAACAGCATATCAATATAAGCATTTTTTGTTCAATGCCAGATTAATATAAGCACAACACCAAAACAGGTTTCAACCATCACATTACATATCAAATGGTCAATTACATGCCATGTACCTGATTCAAAAACCTTGACAGACATGAAAGCCTAATAAAACCAACCATCACAGACATCAATAATCCCACAAACCAACAACTCAATTGCAACCATAATCAAACCATTAAAGTCTAATAAAACTAACTAATTGCAGAATGTATAATTCCACAACATTCAAACCATTCAAAAATAGTTTATCCTAATTCAAAAATAGGTTGCAAAAGTTGAACATCATCACATCTAAGGATGAAAAAAAGGATCTTTGACAAAATGGCTCCTTTGTTGATCTTTCATCCTCCTCCTACGTTGTTATACTCGAGATAGTTTGGCAGATTGAGATGAATCACATGTTTGAGAAGCCTGAGCTGGTTGAGATGGTTGGGATTGAGATGCTTGAGTTGCTTCAGATGGTTGGGATTGAGAAGCATGAGCTACTTGTGATGGTTGGGATTGAGAAGCCTGCGGTGGTTGAGATTGTTGGGATTGAGAAGCCTCGGCTACTTTAGATGCCTCGGATTGAGAAGGCCCTTGGGAAGCACTTGCTTGTCTCCTTTGCCTTAGTTGCATACTTTGTTGTCTGCTACTTTGGTCTTCACCATCTCTCCTTCTTACCTAAACAAATAATAATTAGGTAGGCATGATATGAAAATTCGAATGGTGAAAACATAGTTGAAACCATGGCACTTACTGGAAGTTTTTCCTTGGCAACATTCCTCTTCCTAGTAGGCTTTATGTTGGGATTTCTAGGTTCCTAATAAGCAAAGTCATCAAGTCAGAAACCAAATCAAATATATTTAAATGTAAAGCAATTTTGGATAATGACACATACCTTACAATCAATTCGATTATGCCCTTCTCCACCGCAATTGCCACATTTTAAAGGGATGCCATACCTAGGAAGCTTATATCCTTCTCCACCGCAATTGCCACATTTTAAAGGGATGTCATACCTAGGAAGCTTATATGGATTAGCAGGTTGTTTAGGCTCATCAAAAGCTTGTTTTCTTGTCTTCTTAGGCCTACCAGGCTGCTTGTGGTATTTTAGATGGAGTATTGGAGCTAAATTAATCTTCATCCACTAATCTTGGCCAGTCATAGGCATAATCATTGGTTCATATGCTCTCAAATAAGCCTCTCTCTTGTACACTGCATCACAAAAGTCCTATGCATTCCCATGAAACCAACTTATTGCAGCACAAGCATGCAAATATGGTATTCCATTCAAATTCCAAGCACGGCATGAACAAGAGTGGGCATTCAAATCAACAGCAAAGTTGCGGCCACTATGGTGCATCACTTCAAACCTATTCTGTCCAGCAGCCTTAGGAATGCACCACTGAGCTTTTCCTTTGTTTTTCTCTAATATTTTTCTAATTCTTGGCCCAACTTGTCCATGCCATTTCTCACATAAAACCCTTCTTCCAGCCATCAACAACATTATATACAACCGAATTCTTTCTAGCATAGTCAAAACAGGCTTATCTCTGGCATCCATTATGCTACGATTGAATGCCTCACAGAGGTTGTTCATAAGCATGTCACACTTGGAATCAGTCTTGAAATATGCCCTACTCCAAAGCCTAGGATCTTTCTCTGCAAGCCAATCATGTGCAGGTTTATACAACTCCAACATCTTTGTCATCTCTGCATGAAGCCATGACACTGTTGTGGCCCTAGCAATTGCTTCAATTTGATGTTGCAAAGCAAGCCCTCTATGTTCCAAATAGAAGTTTCCATACAAATGTTTCAAACAATGTCTATGCTTTGCATGAGGAAATAGAGCATCCACAGCATCTATTAAACCTTTTTGTTTGTCAGTCATAAATACATAATCATGGCTATTCCTAATATTCAGATCACCACTCAATAATTCCAAAAACCACAGCCACGTTGAATTGCTCTCATTCTCTACATATGCATACGCAAGTGGAAGCATTCCATTGTTTGCATCAACTCCCATTGCAGAAAGCACTTACCCAGGGTGAGGCCCTTTGACATGACACTCATCCAAGCAAACCACAGGCCTACAACCATCTAAAAACCCCTTCTTGTAGGCTGCAAGACAGATGTAAATCATCTGAAACCGTGGCCTATCACCTTCCATTTCAGATTTAATGATAACTGTACTTCCAGGATTTCTGGTTCTTAAATCATGACAATAATCCCACAAAACTTCATATTGTTTACTGTAAGACCCCTCTATAATGTCAACTGCCATGGCTCTTGCTCTGTATACAGTTGCTCTAGATGGTCTGTAACCATAGTCTTGGTGAACTTGCTCTACAAAAGAAGAAGCAGTCCAATTTGGATTGAGCCTTAACTGCCCAGAATATCTTTCAGCCAACCAGCTAGCAGTGGCATGTATATTTTTACTCCCCTTCCTACAAACATGTGTAGGATTAAAGGTTTTCACCTGCAGGTAAGTGCTACCACTCACACTTGAAGCATGGATAACAAAGGGACAACCATCTTCACATACTACTCTTATTTTGTTACGGTCATTATTCATAAATATCAACTCCCTTCCACAATTAATGGAGTAGATCCTCACAGCTTTTCTAAACATCTTGGCAGTTGCAAACTTTAAACCTGGTTTGAAACCTGGGTTTGCCATATCAATTTCAGGTCTGAAATCTTCACCTTTTGGGATTCTATTCTTCTTCCTTTTTAGTTCACCTACTGCTCCATCTTCACTTGAAGAGCTATTTTGGCAGGTAAGTCTAGGTGACTCTTCTCCATTGTTTGACTCATCATTTTCCTCTGCATTAGGATCATTGTCAGTACAACTATGATCCACATAACCTTCAAACCACTTATCATCCTTCTTCAATAACTCAATCTCTTCATCATTCTATGCATAGTCATTGTCTTCAAAGTCTTCAAAACTCACATCATACCCATCGCCATATCCCAAATCTTTAGCCATTCCAAATAGCTCTAACATAGACATATAATCAACCTCACAATACTCAAACCAACTGACTTCACCACCCAAATAAGACCATTCACTGTCCCTTCTATTTTTAACTAGTTTACCACAATGGAAAAACTTAAATGTAACAACCTCATCAGCATCGTTATCTGTGAAAGAGGAAGAGTCACTTAACAAATCAACAAAGGTAACAAAGACAAAACAACTATAATATTTGGCAGATTTTAGTTCAGTCTGAATACCAAGGTGTTTCTAAGGTGCTTTGTAAGGGTCAATCTAAATAAGCCATAGCACAGCGTAAAAAAGTATACCATAAAATAAAAATAATATTTGGCTGATTGTAGTTCAGTCTGAATACCAAGGTGCTTTGTAAGGTGGTTGTAAGGTTCAGTCTAAATAAGCCATAGCACAGAGTAAAAAAGTATACCAAAAAACAAAAACAAAAACTCCAGCAACACACAAGGACCAGACAAGGAACACACAAGGGACCACACAATGCCACACCAGACCAGCACAGAATCAAAAAGTATACAACAAAACAAAACAAAACTCCAACAACAGTCCAATGCACATGCCAAAATCAAGAAAATCGAGTGAGAATGGATCCACTTACATATGGGTTGACAACCTCCAGATTCTCTAAGCACCACCATCTTCGCACTTTCTAGCCTTAAAGTCTAACGCCAAAGACTGATTTCTTCTCCAGATTTTCCAAAATTCGAACCCCACCTCAGATTTTGCAAAAGCCCTAACCTTCTCCAAATCTCCCATTCTCACCCAAATACCTAATTTCCCCCTCACTTCTAAAAGTGAAAAACCCTTATTCGAAGAGGTTAAAGATTAAAACAAAGTGGGGCCCAAAGCTTGTAACGGAACATCAAAAATATTGACGGAACGGGTAACTTGAGACTGTTTTTAAAACGTTGGGGGGTATTTTGAGACGTTTGTAAACTCATGTGGTAATCTAAGACAAGTTGAAAAGCACAGGGGGCATGTACATAATTAAGCCAGAGTCTGGGCCAGTACCTGGTATCAGAGCCAAAAGTCCCTAGAAGAGTGGTTAAGCTTAAGGTTCAAACTAAGTTGTTGGTTTAATCTTCTGGTTTTTCTGTCAAGTTTCCTTTACTCACTAGTCATCGAGTTGTCTAGCTGTCAGATAGGCTCATTAGCCGTTGCCCGTTAAGCTAAGGCGTTGAGAGACCTAGGCAGGGACTAGCAACCTTGAATTAGGAGGAGAACAGAAGGAAAGCATAAAATCCAGAATTTTAAAATGGCAAGCCTTAGGAGAATGTTGTCTATCCGTTCTTCTGGAGAAGCAAGCTCTAGTAACAGTCCTAGCCATAGAACCCTACGAGTTAAAAACTCTCAAGAAATAATCATGCGGGACGTAGAAAAGGAGTTGTGCAACTGGGATATACCCAGAGTACCCATCACTGATATATACTATAAAGGATCTTTCAAGTTCAGATCTGATAACGCAATAAAAACTGTTGAAAAAACGATATCTGTCATTGATAAAAAAGATAGTTTTCAGCTATTCACCCAGAGTCAAATCGACCAGCATCTGGAGAGAAATTATAACTATTTGCACATAGGATTGGTGCAGGTAGCGGTGAAACCACTTACCAGAACAGGATTGCCCAGTTCAATCTTGCTTTGTGTAAGAGATGGAAGACATAGAAAGTTCACGGATTCCTTGTTAGGAATAGTTGAGTCAACCTTAGGGGAAGGTCCAATATACTTTAACTGTTTCCCAAACTTTTCTGTTGCACTTTCCGACGTAAATATCTTAAAAGCTTTAACATTGAATATTCAAACTCAGGGTTATGATATGGACCCAGGATCCCAAAATCTAGCGATCATTTATAGGGTTTCATATAAGGTTATGAACACTGTCTGTCCCAAAGCTAAAGATTTAGACAGCAAAGGTGAAACTACCTTGTTCCAAACCAACCTTGAAAAATCAAACGTAGCAGTCCCAAAAATGATAAAGTGGAGTGATATAACCCTACCAAAAAAGTGGATTTTGGATGAAGTAGTCCCAAAGAAG